ACACCCATACTTTCTTTCTTATTTGCAGTGATAAGATTTGCGTTACTCGCTATTGATTTTACTTGTGTTTTATATAATTTGCCAACTGGAAAAATTGCCTAAAAAAAAAAAAAACAAATTAGTGAAAAATATTTTTTTGCAATTTAGAGGAAAATATAATATTACCCATTTAAGCTTTTCTTCAGGAACAGTTGACAAGAAGTAACTTTGATCTTTAGTGCTATCAACACCTGGATTTTGAAAAAAAAAAACAAACGACAGAAATCTTGCATGATATACTAATATTGAAAAGCTTGAAATTCTTTAGATACCTTTTAATAGCTTTACTCTTCCATGAGTGTGGTCTACTTGAACATAATGTCCTATCATCTAAAATTAAACATCATCTCTCACAATTGAAGCTATAAATGCATATATTACCTGTAGCAAACCACTTTGCATTAAACATAGGTCCCAAACATTTGTCTAAAAATAAACCAAACTTGATTTCACGATTACACATGATATCAGGATTTGGAGTAAACCCATTTTCATAATCTTCTATCATTTTTGTGAATACTTTTACCCAATATTCTTTTGTAAAGTCAACCTTTTAAGAAGAAAATCAAGTCAAATAATTTTATTTCATAGTTTTTTCCTTTTTTTTTTTTTGTTTAATAATTACGTGTCGACAAGGAATGTCCAGTTGTTTGCAAACTGCCTGTACATCTCTCCAATCCTGATCACTTGTACAAACACCACTTTCATCCGTTGTATCCCAATTTCGCATATAAACACCTTCAACCGAATAACCCTACCATTTAAAGTATTTAAATTAGAAATTAAAAAGTTTTTGAATCGAAAACTTTTTTAATTCACAATCCACTAACAACATTTTACCGAGTAAACCTTTTCAGGCATTTAATAAAACTTGTAAGCTATATGGGTGAGTCAGTAGAAATGTACTAAAATTTTTTAATTGTTTTTTTTTTAAATTCATCATGTCTTTATAATTTATTAAATTTGGCTAAATTACCATTATTATTATTTTAAATTTTCAAAAAAATTTTACTCTTAAAAATTTGATGCATTTCTACTAACTCACATCTATATTGGTGTGGATCACAAATTAAGATAAACGCACGAATATGAGGAAAGTCATATCATGCCTGTTTTTTTAGAAGATATGCTGAAACACTAGAATCGACCCCTCCAGACATGGCCACTATTACTACATTTAAATGATCATAATTCAGATGAAATTCATTTTTGTGTATTTTGAAAAAGGGCCGTTTTTTTTGTACCTTTATCACCGTATTGTGGACTTATATGATGACTTAAAAAACGACGAGAGAAATTAAACA